TCCTTCTTCCTAGGCTGTTGGTTGAATTCCCAGCCACAGGTGGTGCCATCCCCTCCTGGCAGATCCGAACAGTAAAGCTCCTCCGATATGTCAGCACTTGGGATTTCTTCGTTGTTTCTTGTGAGATAGTCTTCTGTGTCTTCATCTTCTACTACATTGTGGAAGAGATGTTGGAGCTACACATTCACAGGCTACAGTACTTCACCAGTATCTGGAATATCCTGGATATAGTCGTCATACTGGTGAGAGTTCTTGGAATTATTACTAGAAAAGTAAAAGGAATAAGTGGAGTGGCCAAAGAATAGAACAACAAAGAYCAAAACTGAAAGCATTTGTTTGTTAGTTAGGGAGCTAAACCACTACAGATTGTTAATCATGAAATATGCACATATGTTCAAATTTATATTCAGATTTATTTACAAAGCATTGGGGGGGGGGGAAGGATGTTACCTTATTATTAACTAAAACTGAATCTATGCAAATGAAAAAAAATGCATACTCTTCCTATTTAGTTATGCTACCAATTTAGTTATGCTACCTATTTAGTTATGCTAGTTATGCTTTTTGTTTTCTGTGTGTTGAGCTTAGATGGTAAATTCCTCCTGAAATGAATTTACCTTTCTATAATCTGTAAAAGGATACTTCTAGGACACTGTTACTGTTTGTTTGGTTTTTTTCTGGCAAGATTTATTCAGAAGTTTACCTTTGCCTTCCTCTGAGTCTAAATAATGTAACTTACGGTACTTGGAATCATCCATTGGATTCCCATGTTTTAGAAAGGATTCAAACCCTTGTCTCGCCATTACTGACAGCAGATATTGGTTCAGTACAAAAATAGCATCCTTGGAATCAGATGAGAAGGAGAGAGAAAATGGTGCATTATACTGATGACAGTGAACTCCAAAATGTTGGATGGCCTCTCACACCAGTTTAGTGTAGACATTAAGCAGAGCAGAACAGGACTCTGAGGGACACTGAGGATAGTGACCAGACCTTGAACAGGTATCCCTTAGCACCATCTTTTCAGTCCATCCCTCCAACAAAATCATTGGAAAATAGTGACCCATCCCAGAAAGGTGACCCAGCAAGTAACCATGGTTGCCGATATTAAAAGCTGCTCATAAGTCCAGTAAAACCAAGAGAGACACACATACCCATCTAGTCCTCTGTGAAAGTCAACTGCTAAGGCAATCAAAGTTGTCTTTCTCCCATAGCCAGGTCTAAAGCCAGATTGAAATGGAACTAGATCAGTGGTTCTCAACCTGTGAGTCCCCAGATGTTTTGGTCTTCAACTCCCAGAAATCCTAACATCTGGTAGGCTGGCTGGGGTTTCTGGGAGTTGCAGGCCAAAACACCTTGGGGACCCACAGGTTGAGAACCATTGGTCTAGATAATGCATTTCATCTTCAGGTTGCACAAGTTGAAACATATCCAGTAATACTGGACAAATGAGCCAAAGTACATCCACTGGACCTATATCGACTACAGCATCCAAAGTGGCAATATTATCTACAAAGCTCTCTGCCAATTTTTAACAACTAACCCGTTTTGCAGAGCAGAATGTAAAAGGCCCCAACCACTCAAAACCACTCTACTAGATGGCACTGTGTGGAAGCAATACTGGCAGCGAATAAGGCTTTCCAATGAGATGTAGGCTGTATTCAGTCAGATTCACTACACCATAGTTGCTCTAGTCTCCATCCTACTTGTTTTGCTGCTTGGCTCTACCATGGGATGGGCACTGAGGAGTTTTGCTCTGATTTAATCTGCTCCTAGTGCACTATGCTAAATAACTATCACTTAAATATCCTTATATTCTCACATTTTCAGAAATCACGTACATTTTAATAAATTAACAGTAACAACTCACATTTTATTGTCCAAGGGGTTTTTGATTTATTAAATCAAGAGTTTTACCTGGATTACTTTTTTATTCTTTGGGCTTCATGTGATATAGTTCCAGGGTATGGCTCAGCTATGCAATATCCACATGTGTCTTTGGACACATTTTGCCCTCTTCTATAGAATGTCTACTTTGAATTGTTTTGAGAATTTCATTTTAAATGTTAATTGTTTTGGAAGCCACCTTGGATCTCACTCTGGGAAAAAGGTAGCACACAAATGCAACAAATAAGTATCATTTCAATCGTTCTTCTTTTCTCAGCTTTCTATTGTAGCTATTGGATTCCACATCTTTCGCACCATTGAAGTCAATAGGTTGATGGGGCAGCTGCTGAGAAACCCCAGCATCTATGCAGATTTTGAGTTCCTGGCTTTCTGGCAAACCCAGTACAACAATATGAATGCCGTGAACTTATTTTTTGCTTGGATCAAGGTACCTTGCTGAATTCCACTTAGCTGTTCTCGCTGTTCAGATTGCTTATAGACCTAGCCATCATTTCAGAACTAAGAGGTTCCTTCCACTAAGGAGGGGAGAAATGTGGGAAGTTGAAAAGTCAGCAAAACCAGGAAAACAAGAGGGAAATCCAGAGGAGATATACAGAGCTAATCAAATTGTAAAAGGAAAAGTTGAAAGAGAGTGACAGTCAATAGGTAGAGTGACATTTTAAAGGAGGAGACTAGTGTGTTGATAACCAGCAGAACAGTCAGATACTGCCATCATATCAGGGCATATCTACATGGGCCATTTAGATCGGTGCGGGGGCAGATCAGTTCATGAGCAGCCACAAAAAACACAAGAAGAAAAATCTTTTAATGTAGCTCTATCCCAGGTTAAAATAATTTAGGGGAAAGTCTGAATCCTGCACCAGGATTTGGGCTTTCACTTGAAGACACCCACAGTTCATATGTAGAACCAGCTGCAGGTGTCTGGACAGCCATCCTGTGCTCCCTGGGACTCAGAAAAATAAAAAAATATGGTACAGGTATCCAGGGAATCGGCAGATAGCATTACAGCTGTGCTGGCCCTATAATCCATCAATCATGCAGACTGCCCAGGACAGGCATGTAGCCGAGGGGGGGGCTTGGGGGGCTTCAGCCCCCCCCCCCCGAAATTCTCATGGTGGTCTGCGAGAAGGCCTTACTGGTACATTATTTAAACTGTTATGTTTATTCATATCATGATCTGATCACCATGCTCAATATATCCCATATGCATGGGGGTATTGGGGTAACGATACAAAAGATTTGCTAGGGTAGACCCTCTTTCACTCAAACTCAGCCCCCCCACCCAAACAAAATCCTGGCTACGGGTCTGGCACAGGATATCAGTTTGTGTCTCATATCTAAATTTAGCACTAGCTTATCCCTACGGATTGAGATAAAGATGGTAACCTTTCATCTACTAAAGTAGTATACAAATTATTTGGTCATCAATTGTATCTTTAGTTTGTGTGCCTTAACTTTTCACCTATCTTTTTTCTCTATTTTTCCCAATTCAGATTTTTAAATACATTAGCTTTAACAAAACAATGACACAACTCTCTTCTACATTAGCCCGTTGTGCCAAAGACATTCTGGGATTTGCCATCATGTTCTTCATTGTCTTCTTTGCATATGCACAATTGGGATATCTTCTTTTTGGGACTCAAGTGGAAAACTTCAGCACATTTGTTAAATGCATGTGAGTATATTCCCCTTCTCTCCCTTCATTTGCTTCTCTTTTTTAAAGTTTAGTACTATGTCATCCATACTGTTTGTAATATGCTGAAGCTTCACTATACGGGTAACTGTGTGTGTAGAGTCAGAGAATCAACTGAACAGAAAACTGGATTAAATGACCTTATGCTTATGTCTACTATTATACTTCTATGTATGGTTCCTGTTGCATGAAATCACAATCTACAGAGCCCTTAATTAGTGCGGAAACATTAAAAGACAAGCACAAAAGAGAAAATGGTAAATGTCACTTTGCCATGTAGATATATTTTATGGTTGTCATTACAAAGTGCATATCAACTTGTGTGCATGGACACACACATGTGCACGGACACACACATACACTCACATAGGGTAACTGGGATCACTGTTTCTGCAGTAGTCATGCAGAAACAGCAATTAGTCACTAGGAGCAGAAAGATGCTAAAGTATCCACTTCTTTTGCCTCCCCGACCAGTGAGTCATTTGACTTCCTTCTCCGAGCCTTTCTCTCCCACCCCATACCTCCATCTTTTCAGTAGATTATTAGTTCTAGTGAATGCTGTAGAACGCATGCTACTGTATTTTTATTTAAAGTACAATAAGGGTCTTAAAGTTTCATTTAAACATATATATTATTAGAGTATTCTGTGTGCAGTTATGTAAATGTGTACCTAGCTTATATTTGGGCCTCTCAACTAGCCTTAGATCCAGAGGCGGCCCTAGGTAATTTTCAATGGTAAGCAAACAGTATTTTGGCGCCTCCCAACCAATCACTGATATATATTTTCTGTTCGTCGTGGGAGTTCTGTGTGCCATATTTGGTTCAATTCCATCATTGGTGGAGTTCAGAATGCTCTTTGCTTGTAGGTGAACTATACATCCCAGTAACTACAACTCTCATATGTCAAGGTCTATTTTCCCCCAAGAGCACCTCAAGAGCGCCCCTGAGCAAAATCAACTATACTGCAAATGCTTACTTTGCGTAATGAATTGAACCGCCCCTGCTTAGATCTAAACTCTTAAAAATACAGTGAGGAAATATCAGGGAGGAGAACCAAAAGAAAGCAACATGTTTTCTCTCTTCTGAAATGTATGTCATACTTGCAAGTCTTAAAACAGCATTACACTATGAAACAAAATATGAAAATTTTACAGTTCTTCATTTGAAAGTGTTATTTCCTGTTTAATTGTTCTTACTTTGAAAGTAGTTGTTATACTCCAGAAACTTCAGTTTGTGGCTGCCACAACCACAAACTATATTGAATTGATTGAGATTCCGTGGGATATTCATTGAAAAACTATAGCAAAATGTGCTGCAGATGTTCTGCAAAAACAGAGTTTCTGCAGTTTAATAAACCTTTTCCATGTTTTTATTATAGAACCAATTAGGAAATGAGATTTATAACCCAGGAACAAAAATTGTGTTACATGGTGTATCTGAAACTGACAGTGATGTCTGACAATCCTTTCTTGTGTCCTAACTTGGTTTTGACTCTAACGTATGCTCTTTAGCACCATGCTACAGCATTTTAACAAGGAAGGTCTGAAAACCTGTTTATCAGCAGAAATTTAAGTCTTGTAAACCCTGAACTAAGGGAGTTGCAGACTGGGTGGAAGTCCTAAACAAAGAGCCCTCCCCCTTTGTTTTATTTTTTTAGAAGGCAATAATACAGTGCAATCCAGAGTTCCGATTGTTCGTCCTTACTTGTCATTTGTAATCTCTGCTCAATTATTATCCTATGAGCCACCCAATTTCACTCACTTTCTGTTGTCCAGCTTCACCCAGTTTCGAATAATTCTTGGCGATTTTGACTACAATGCTATTGACAATGCAAACAGGATCTTGGGGCCTATCTATTTTGTCACCTATGTCTTCTTTGTCTTCTTTGTACTATTGGTAAGTTATTGGGTTTTTCCTAAAATATTTCCTATTTACAGAGATGGCTCGATTTAGGTTAAAATTGCATAAGAGGATCCAAAAATTGTGTCTTCAATTAATTTGTCCTATCTACCTGAAATCCCAAGAAAACAATAGGATTATTTTGATCACAAGAGATATGTAAATATCTATTAAAGTGATCAGAACTCTAGCTGCTGGGCATTTAAAACAAAAACAAAGAAACCAGGGAGGGCAGAAACAGGGCTTGGGCATGGCATAAACACACACACACACACACACACACACACACATGTTTCTGTGTTTATTTTTTGACTGTGCTTCCATTATCTCATTTTAGTCATCCTTTTGACCTATTTCGGATCATGGTACTCCAATTTCCACCATCTATTGCCTGTGTATTCCTTTTAGGATTCAGTACAAGCTTCTAGTTTTCACTTTCTCAAAACCCTGCAAAACATATCTCTCCCATTACCTTTCAGCCTGCATTTCCTTTTTTTACTTGTCTGTAGGCTTCTCATTCAACTAAGGATTTGCTCTCCCTTGGTTCACCTTCATTGTTTTTCACTCATTATTCCATGTTCCTAGCATTGCCTTCCTGAACATTTGTGTACTGCTATTTCCCTCATTGTTTTTAAATACCAGATTAAAAGGTAAGTTCTGGAGGGATCTCAGTGTAGGCAAAGGCCATTCCCCCTTTTTATGGCCATCTGGTAAGAGCCCCTGGTTGCACAATGAATTAAACTCTTGTGCCAGCAGGACTGAAGACAAACAGGTTGGAGGTTTGAATTTGGGGAGAGTGTGGATGAGCTGCCTCTATCAGCTCCAGCTTCCCATGTGGGGACATGAGAGAAGCCTCCCACAAGGATGGTAAAATATCAAAACATCTGGGTGTCCCCTGGGCACCTGTCCTTGCAGATGGCCAATTCCCTCACACCAGAAGCGACTTGCAGTTTCTCAAATCACTCCTGACACGGGAAAAAAATGGCCATGTAGTGTCTGAGACAAAGGACAGTACAATTGAAACTGTGTCAGTAGCAGTAAAGTACTTCCCTTTAGATCAGCTCACCTTCTGCCGCTCCCCCAGCCTTTTTCAAGGAGTCAGGATTTCTGAAGAAGTCTCTGTACTGCTACATCTAGAAAAAAGTTTGGTGTCATGTAAATTCTGGGAGTTGCAAACAAGCAAAAGTTCATCCAATAATAATTGGACTGCCCACATCAAAAGAGGGGCTTCAACATGACATTAACAAATACTGAAAGTTTCGATTCCTTACAAAGGAAATAAAGTATCAAAGCATTTCCTCAGAGCAATAACAGTTACATGTGGCTGGCTTTACTGGATCCTCTCTTTTCTTTCCACAGAACATGTTCCTAGCTATCATCAATGACACCTATTCTGAAGTCAAAGAGGAACTTTCAAACCAGAAAAATGAATTGCAGTTGTCAGACATCTTGAAACAGGTTTTTTTTAAACTCATTTAAAACATTTTTTTCCATATTGTTGATTATATTTGGAAAGATTTCTTCATTGAGTTAACTTGTTTCTCAAGGCTTAGCAGAAAAATTAGTGGGGAAAGGGCATGATGATCTTGTCATCCAAAGAGTCTGGTAGAGGGAAAAAATGATTTGGATAAAGATGAGTAGCTCTAGGAATTTGATATCACAACTTGATACCTGCTGCCCCTTGCAAACAAAGTGACTTGTATTTTTAAAAGTTGAAAAATAATCTGGACGATTTCCAAACCAGCCTGCTTTTCTTTGCATCCTTTCATTGTAGGGTTATAACAGAACACTGATGAAGCTGAAGCTGAACAAGGACCGTATCTCTGATGTACAGAAAGCTTTACAGAAAGGGACCAAGGAGCTAGAATTTGAGGATTTCAAGAACAGTTTGAGAAAGCAAGTAGCTTCAGAGGATGGAATGAGCTCTCCAAACTTTTCATCATACTCCCGTCTACCATCTACCATCAAGGCTTTTTTTCAAATGCTAGAGACCATCAAATATCTTACAGAGAAAAATCCCAAATCATTTTACCAGTCCTTTCATTTAGAATCTAACGGATTGTTGCCAAACCGTTTTGCACCTCACTCACTACTTTTACCCTTTCTTTTTTAGGCTTGGTCATGCTGAACATGAAATCACAGCAGCCTTTGCAAAGTTTGATAAAGATGGCAACCAGATTCTTGATGAAGAGGAGCAGAAGAGGATGCGGAATGATTTAGAGGAGAAAAGAGTAAGATTGAAGGGGAATAAATTTGTTATATGGTTATATTGCCATACTGCAACATTTTGAACCCATCTTGCATCATTGCAATGAGGCAATACTTTTAACTTTGAGACATTGGGGGATGGGGTGAGAAAATTGTAGGCAAAGGGGCATTAAGACTGAAGAAAATTGTTGTACATGAGATGTGGGTGGATGAACAGCAGCTAGTAGTGCTTGGATCCTTTTTTGTATCCTGAAGGACATGGCGCACCTAGGAAGAACTAGGAAACTCAAGAGAAAAAATCCAAACAAATAGGCATAGCAAAATAGATGGGATAGTCCATAGTTGAGAAGATTTCATTACATCCAAGATTTTCACGATGCCATTCTGATGCTCACTGGAGCACCAAAGAGGCCAGGTTCCAGGCTGCAAAGCAAAAAAGTATAATAAGAAAAGGGGGAATGACAAAGAAATTTCAAGAAAAGACTGGAATTGGAGACATCTGTTTGGGACACAATAATAAATTTCAATCTATTGACAGAAATCTGAACAGAAGTGATAATTTCTTGAATACACTGGGTTTCATTGCAATTTTGTATTCAGCGTGAAATCGTCTTTTTAAGAGGTTCTGCATTCAATAGAACTTTCCTGAAAGATGTATATATATATTTCGCTTTAACATTAACAAGTAGCAACTTGGCTGATTGATGCTAAGCTGGCCCGTTTATGACAGCCTTACAATTGTTTCTTTCAGTACCTCATTATCACCACTATTGCATTATTTATGAAAATGTCTGGACCATTCTTTTTAACTGTAATTTTTCATCCACCTCCAACAGGTTATGTCTGTAGGCAAATTCTGGAGTAAGAAAAAGCTTTTCCTCTAGCATCTATTTGTTTATTTGCTTATCTGCCATTGTATGAGTTTGCCACCCATTTGCATCCTGTTAACAACATTTTAAAATCACCTTTGAGAACTGTGCTTGTCTTTCCATCAACATGGAATCATAAAATCTTAGACTTGTGACAGTCTTAGAAGGTTTTAATATTTATTTCAGTTTTTACCGTTGTTATTTTAGCATATAAAGGTTTAATACCATTTTAACTATCATATTCAATACCGGGTTTTAACTTTGCTTTTTACTGTGTTTCTTAATACCTGAATGTATATGTTCCTATTCTAACATTTGTACATTTTTTGGTGCTGGTCATTGACCATGATAAATATATAGATAGACTTGGAAAAGGCTACAAAGGCCACCATTGCTACCATGCAAGAACTAAAGCACCCCTGAAATATGCCCATTCAACCTCTATTCAAAGTCCTCCAAAGATGGAGAGTCTGCTACTCCCTGAGGCTATTTATTCCACTGCTGAATAGCACTTACAGAATAAATTATTCCTAATGTTTAGGTTCAATCTTTTTCATGGAATTTCACTCTATTCTAATATCCAAATGGCGAAAAAAAAGTTTGATTCATCTTTTACATCACATTCCTTAAGATATACTAGCACATTTTTCTTGAAACTCAACTCAACTTCCCATGAAAGTGAAAAACAGTGAATAAATAATTTTTTTTTACCTAGAAAGAGAACATCTTTCTAGGTAAATCCTAGACCAAACATTTTAATCAATTCCGTGAATTATCAAATCGGCAAAAGACAAAACTGCAAATGTAGAGGGACAACCATTCAGTGAAAAGCAAAATGGTATTTCTCCCTGTAATGATTTGGTGAAATAGCATTCACTAAGAACTGGGGCATACTGACCTGTGAATATGGTCTGCATTATAAATGTCCTAACAGGACAAAATCATTGACTACGCTTTGTTTTCCAGGTTGCTCTGAATGAAGAAATAGAGAATCTGGGGAAATCCTTTGGCGAAAATGGCTTCGAAGACTCCCTTGCCTTTGCAGATGCGAAGAACAATCAAGCAAATAAATCTAACTTGGTATCTGAGGAAGAATTTCAAAGGTATATAGTTCTATTTTATGTTACTAATGGTCAACAATGTATCAAACTAAAGATATAAATAGATAAATTCCTAAATAAGGTTACTTCATAAAACGTATATCCTGGGGAGCGGGGGGAGCTCTCGTTGCTAGTCCCAGCTTCTGCCAACCTAGCAGTTCAAAAACATGCAAATGTGATAGATCAATAGGTACCACTCTGGTGGAGGTAACGGCGCTCCATGCAGTCATGCTGGCCACATGACCTTGGAGGCGTCTATAGACAAAGCCAGCTCTTGGCTTAGAAATGGAAATGAGCACCAACCCCCACAGTCGGACACGACTACACTTAATGTCAGGGGAAACCCTTTACCTACCTTATTATATAATTTAAAAATGACCTAGAGTCCTGCTGAAAATGGAAGTTCTTTAATTGATCTTGAAGTTTTTAAAAAACTAAATTAACAAAAATTAACCGCAAAACCTGCAGTTTTCTTCTGCAGAGGAGAAGGTAAGAAAAGGGGTCAGATCTCAATTTGGTCATCAATACTGTGGTCATCAGTTCACTATCAGTGTAGGGCAGCTTCAGGGCAGAATACTCTAAATTGCAGCTGGATTATTTTGCTGGTATAGACCATTCCTTTGCAGCATGGGCCGCAGGTTCTTTTGAAGCAACTGCTTTGGATCAGTCTCTTCTTAAGTAGTCTCAACAGGTCATCTTTAATTCATGCAGGCAGTAGAAACGTTAAAAATTCAAATAAAGTATTAACTTGTTAATTAGTATGCAAAGTGATCTTGTCACACTTTTGAGACCGAGAGAAAGAAGTTGGCAGCAGAAGCTTTCATAGACCTTGAACAGACTTCTGTCATTTTGTCCTACACATTTATGTGAAATGGTGTTCTCAGCATTGACAATTATAAAATCAAAATGTCGATCAGCTCTGAAAAACACCGAAGATGCTCTACGTCCTGCAGTTTCAAATATTCCACCAAGATGTAATTCTTTGTGTAAAAATAAACGAGCACATCCAATTGATTAGTAGACAATTTTGCTTTCAGATTTTAATCAATGGCAAAATATGTATATTAAGGAATTGTTTTAAAATACATTCCTTTACATTTTATGATCAGTGAATATTTGATTTGTATATCTCTTTTATATACCCATATATCTGGGGTCACATAAAAATTTCTCAAACAAAAAGAGATTGCGAGTGGAAAAGTTGAGGAAGTCCTGATCTGGACCACTCCTTTTACCAGAGCCACATGATAGGTATATAGAAGCAGACAAGTTGATCCAGGGAATTTATTTACCTAGTAGCTAATGTTATAAAATGAAGGAGGCTTTCTAAGATTCATCTTTCATTCTTCCACAGACTCTTACAGCGGGTACAGCACTTGGAGCATTCCATTGGCGGCCTCATATCCAAAACAGAAGCCTTGGTTGTTAAACTAGAGGGCACAGAGAGAAGCAAAGTAAGGAACAAATACCCAGTGTTCAAGCTATTTAATGATAGGTAGCTAGGGCTGGATCTTCATTGCCCTGTATCCCAAGATCTGATCCCAGATTATCATCTTTGAACTGGATTGTATGAGTCTGTCAGATAATATAGGAAAACATATAAATCTGGGATCAGATCCTGGTGTATAGGGCAGTGTAGATCCAGCCTAGGAATCCTATAACTGCAAGTTTAATTTGATAACCTCCAAGATCTCTTTTAAATCTCGAATTCTCTCAGCAAGCTTCTTCACAACTGAAACAAAGTAAGTGGTCTTAGAACTAGACTGAAGTGGGTTTGTGTGTGTGTGTATGTGTGTGACCCCTGATACATAATCCACAGATATCAAACAGTAAATGGGAAGGAGTAAATCATTCAGCTCTATTCAACTTCCAACCGAGAACAATTCTTCATTAAAACAAGATACACTGCTCATACATTTCTTGTATTCAGTGATAATTACATAGCCCAACCAAAAAGTCTCAGTGTCTTGGTTTTCTGGCCAGTTTCTGGGGGTATTTGGGGCGTTGATTAAAAAAATGTGCTGAATAAACCACATCAGCTCTAGTTTCTTAGGTATGGCTTTCATGATTTTCTATGGGTAAGCAGATAGCAACTGGTAGATAGCACGTGATCAGGGGTGAAACTGATGGGGTGAAACAGGTACCGTTTTTGGAACCAGCAAGTCAAATATACCCCAAAACTGGGCTAACATTTGAGGCATCAAAATGTATGTTGGCCAGTGTTACCTTTTTCCCTGGTTTCAGCCCATATAATCTACAAATATGGAACAACCTGAAGAAAGGATATCCTTGGATAGAAACAAGTGGGAGGCTTTATGTTTCCCATTCATCACAATGGATCTGGTTTTAGAATATCAGGAGAACATCACTTTCTTTTTTTAAGGTTCTGAATGCATCTCTCTACTGTTGCCCACCCTTCCCTACAGGTTGAACATCTCAACGAAAAAGGTCTGATCCCTCAGAAAATTGCAAAGGTCAACAAGAAAGAAGATGGATTGGAAGCATTCTTACAGGAGAAGAACATCCCTATGAATTCTTTGAGTTCTAGTAGCAATGCTGTCTACCCCATCCTGTCCAAGACGGAGCTTGCAGGCTCTCAGCTGCCCAAGAATGCTCAGCTACAATCAAATATGAACATCTAGTACAGTCTACAAATCCCAGTGCTATCTTCCCCGCTATTTCATGACATGTAGTCTAGCCTGGACTTTAACTATAGTTTTATATCAAGAGCCAGGAATTTCCCCATCTTTCTTAACCAAAAGAAGATGCAGATGCTATTTTTTCTGCTGAACACACGCATATATACATGCACATATAATCAGCATAATTTTCAAGGAGGACAAGTCACAATGCAACATTTTCAAAATCTAATTGTCACAGAGATGGAAAGTGAGGTGAAATCTTCTGAACAGGGGCACAGATGAAAACAAACACATGGGTCTTAACCCTTACCTATGCTATCCAAAACTTTTTTAAAAATTGGCTGGAGTTACACTTAAAAATGTATCTGTTCCAGCTTTGAACCCATTTCTCTAAGTCCTGAGCCCTGGAGACTAGGACTGAGAACAATGGATACAAACTACAGGAAAGGAGATTAAACCTGAACATTAGGAAGAACTTACTGACCATGAAAGATGTTCAACAGTGGAACTCACTGCCTTGAACTGTGGTGGAGCTTCCTTCTTTGGTGGCTTTTAAACATAGGCTGGATGGCTGTCTGTTGGGGTGCTTTGATTGTAGTTTTCCTGCATGGCAGGGAATTGGACCAGATGGCCATTGTGGTCTCTTCCCACTCTATGATTTTATTATCCAAATTTAAGTTAAGAACAAACCTACAGAACCTGTCTTGTTTGTAACCCGGGAACTGCCTGTGTTCTTGGCAAATATCAGGATTGTTGAAATCTACATCACCATTACATCCCTCCATCTGTTCTAGGAGGGCATCATCCAAGTCCTCAGTCTGACTTGGAGGTCTCTAGCAGATCCCCACAATAATGTCCCTGTTATTTATCACCCCCTTTTTACCCAGATACTCTCAACCTGGCTTCTAGGATCCCACCTCCCCCAAAATTATAAATATTCTTGACATACAATGTTACTCCTCACAGAAATAGGTTATTCCCCATACATTCCAATTATCTTATCAGGTTCGGTGATGTCAATTATATTTGCTTTTCTGTGTTAAGATTGCGGATCCCCTTTTTCATTCCTCTGCTTTTTGAGAAGAAAATAAGTCTCGAAAGCACAACGCAAAAACTTGGACAGCCTATGCCTACCAGAATTAGTTTCCAAACAGATGTCAGGGTAATTGAATTCCTCCGTATCTACCAATTTTTGTATTTTTGAGATTTATTTTTGAAAAGCATTTTCTGCCCCCTCTTCTTGGCTTGGTTGCCTGTAATAGACCTATCACACATCTACTTCTTTCATTGTGCACTTTTACCTAAATGCTTTTGACTGGACTATTCTGATCATTCTCATGGATTCAATTTCATCATTGGGGATTTTGACTTCTCTCCCAGTGAAGTCTAAAGTAATATGCAGAACAGAAGCCATTGCACCCAAGAGTTGGATTCACTGCCATCACCTGTCATGTCACTTGCCCGTGTCCTTCTGACATCCCCTTAGCCCCCGTAGAGGCTGTAACCTAAAGTCTATTCTCTGTTTCCCTAATTGGCTTTTTTGTGTGAAGGCAGTGGTTCCTACATAAGGGGAAAGGTGGGATAGAAATCAAATAAATACTTTGAGGACTTTGATTAATTCTGTACATCTGGTATCTGCTCCAATACAATATAGATTCACTGAAGACCATCTTGGGCATAAACTATCATGCATATACATCTGAAATATGTTTGGGGAAATAGTTTAGAAGAGATAATCTGCTAAACCATATCATTGCAGTGGTTGCTATCACACAATGTTTAATTGTTGTCTCTTTAGGTCAGTGTACCACGAATATTAAGAGCTTCTTCCTCTGTGGCTGTTGCTATGCAGTGTGACCACCTGCTATCTGTATTTCTGTAAGAATATTATACCTCTAATTATAAGGCATAATGTAACTTGAAAGAATTAAAGTATTTTTCAATGAACACTATATGCTTGACTCTGGTAGTTTTCTTTCCTGAACAGCACCGAATAAATAAGGTTTCTTTCTTTTCTTTCTAAATCATAAATCAAATAAACAATCGTAATGAGATGCAAGCAAACTGGTTTAAATGTTACTGTTCATATTTGGAAATCATAAAAAGCAATGTGACGTCCTTTCAAATATTAAAGCTAAAAATACTCAGGTCATAAGTCTTTCTTCATAGGGTTTAGTTTCCAAACCTTTTATCATTTTGGTCACTCTCCTCTGGACACCTTCCAGTACAGAGTGAATATCTATACTTCTAAGCTAAGTAGCTGTGTTCTATATCTTATGCTTATTTTTCATTTAATTGTTTTTAAGTTTTTTTTAAAAAAAAAATAGGGTTACTAATATTACCCATGTGAACTCGTTTTTAAAATTTATTTTTTCATTTATTGATTTTTCTTTTTCAAATTAATTAAAAATTAATGCTGCCAGTAGTTCTGTATGCATTACCTTACCATTACCTTTAATGCAATATAACTGTTTGGTTCACTCCTGACACAATAAATAAAAAATATTTCTTATGATTTTTATCCTGAGAATCTTTTAAATTCATCATGTGCTTGCAAAACTGAAAATGTTCCTTTATCAAAAATATTGCCAGCCAAATATTGCTTAACTTAATGAAAAATTCTGAAAAATATTTTAAAATAAGAGTATTTTGGGAACGAAACTGAACAGGAACTTTTCATCCTTTATGAGTAATAACAATATTTGAAAAATAGAGAGTGCAGGAAATTAGGATTGTTGTTGTTGTGTGCCTTCAAGTCATTTCAGACTTAGGGCAGCCCTAAGGCAACACTATCTCATTCTGTTCAAGATGTGCCTTTGTCTGAGGCTGAGAGAGTGTGACTTGGCTAAAGTCACTCAGTGGCTTCAGAGACAGAGTCTGAGAATCAAACCACTACAACATACTTTCTGAATGTTGAATTCCTTTCCTCTGTGCCTCCTACTTTGCTTTCTTTCTTTCTTTTTCCTCCCTCCCTCCATCCTCCTCTTCCCTCCCTTTTTCCTTTCCTTCTTCCTTCCCTTTTCCCTCCCTTTTCTTCTTCATTCCCTCCTTTCCTCTTTCCTTCCTTTTCCCTCCTTTTTCCTTTCTTTCCCTTTTCCCTCCTCCCTTCCCCTCTTCCTTCCTTCACTCTCTTTTCTCCTCCCTTCCTTTTTTCCATGAATGAGGCTCAGGTTTAGTAAAGGTGGCAATCATGGGACAGCTTGCAAAATGCCATAGTGCATTTCAACCACCCTTGGATTCAATGAAATACGGGATATATTTACTATCAAGAAAATGAGACAAGAAAGGAGAATGGATCAGAAAGGGATGGAGAAGCAAGTTGCTTGTCAAGGTCTGTGACTTGGGAAGGGAAGGTGAAGGGCGTCACATTAGATTAGGATTTGTGGCTGAATCTAGTCAAAAGAAAAGGAGGAAGGGAGGCCAAAATGGGATCTCCTGCAAAGTACGATCTCGGTTGCAGGAAGCCTATGAGAGGTGACCCACTTGAGGCCCTTCTTTTGAAACTAGGATATGGCCTCGTAGTGGGAGGGACTGAGATGTGGAGGGCTAGCCTGGGGATCTCCCATCCAAGTCCGAACCGGGGTTGTCCATGCTTAGCATCCATTGGCAGTCTCCCATCCAAGTCCAAACGGGGACTGTCCCTGCTTAGCACTCATTGGAAGCCTCCATTCCAAATCCGAATTGGGACCGTCCCTGCTTAGTGCCCATTGGCAGTTTCCCATCCAAGTCCAAACCAGGGCCAGCCCTGCTTAGTGCTCATTGCCGGTCTCCCATCCAAGTCCGAACCTGGGCCGTGATTCCAGCATATCTAAATTTTGAGTCAAGTCAAAATATATACATCAATTTCGCAAATAATATATTAAATTATTCACATTTTGACCCAAGCAGGAGGAGAGAGCAGGACTGCAGAAGGGTTGATAGAAGGAGCATGAAAAATCTTACTATAAATACATTAATATGACGTTTTACTAAATTCAAGCCAGTGGTAGAGGAGAAAAAAGTTAACACTTTTGTACTAGAAATGCAAGTGGTCACAAATCCCAGCAACACTCAGTATGCGGACTTTGTAAACTATAGTAAGCAATATAGAATGGTGTCCATGAGCAAAGGGAGGGAGGGCCCACCTCTCAACTGTTGGACAATAACGAACAGAACATTCCATTATGGCCATGTTATATTACCTCCAAGGGGATTTTTATTATGTGCTCTTAAAGTTCACGCATATATCCCAGCAAATGCCACAAGAGGGCCCTGCTCCATTGGCAGGCAAACTGTCCTTTGCCTCCCCAGCCCAAGGCATGAAGCACTAGAATTGAGAGAAGTTTCATTACAGTTGCTGAGACATGCAATGATGATGGTTGCGGATGACACGATAAATAAATATGCAATGATGATATAGATATACAGAACAGCACTCAAAAACATGCAACGATAATGATATACAGAACAACACTCAAAAACAGGGGAGTTCCAGACAAGAAACAATCAGGACCTGCTAATCACCTCCCAACAAAGTATTCCCCCAGGCAGTAAGAAGCCACAACCTGAAACTGCTAGGCAATTAAATGCTAATCAAGGTGGCCAATTGCAACATCACACCAACAGACAAGAGTTTTCACCAACCTTGGACATTCCACAGATATTTAAATCCAATTTTTCTAGTTTCCAACAGACCTCACAACCTCTGAGGATGCCTGCCATCGATGAAACGTCAGGAGAGAATGCTTCTAGAATATGGCCATACAGTCCGGAAAACTCACAGAAATCCGATGAGCTAGTCGTCTGAAGCCAGCTCGAAGCCACATAGGCGCCTTCTACACTGCCATATAATCCAAATTATCAAATAATCCACATTATCTGCTTTGAACTGGATTATCTGAGTCTACACTGCCATATCATCCAGTTCAAAGCAGATAATCTGGACTTTATATGGCAGTGTAGAAGGGGCCATGGTTAGCATTATACCCTATTTGAATCGCTACCTCAGCTACGGATTCAATTTATCTGTGGGGGTTGGAGAGGGGACCAAAGACCTCATCACACTTGAGCATTTACTTCTGCAGAATTCTGGGGCTTGTAGTTTAGGGAGGGGCCTTTAAACTGTGTTGTCGAAGGCTTCATGGCCAGAATCGCTGGGTTGCTGAGTTTTCTGCGCTGTATGGCCATGTTCCAGAAGCATTCTCTCCTGGCGTTTTACCCACATCTGCATCCTCAGAGCTTGTGAGGTCTGTTGGAAGCTGGAAAAAATGGGGTTTATATATCTGTGGAAATGTCCAGGGTGGGAGAAAGAACTCTTGTCTGTTGGAGAAAAATGTGAATGTTGCAACTGACTGCCTTGATTAGCACTGAATGGCCTTGCAGCTTCAAAACCTGGCTGGTTGCTGCCTGGGGAATCCTTTGTTGGGAGATTAGCTGGCCCTGATTTATTCTTGTCTGGATTTCTCCTGTTAATTGAGTGTTGTTCTTTTTTTACTGTCCTGATTTTAGAGTTTCTTAATACTGGTAGCCAGATTTTGTTCATTTTCATGGTTTCCTCCTTTTTGTTGAAATTGTCCACAGTCCAGCTTAGACCATCATACCCTTCAGCTTGACATGGTGGTTGTTGCAGTGGAGTGTCTGCTGGAGACAAGTGTGAATGTTGCAACTGGCCGCCTTGATTAGCACTGAATGGCCTTGCAGCTTTAAAGCCTGGCTGGCAGCAACCAGCCAGGCTTTGAAGCTGCAAGGTCATTCAATGCTAATCAAGGCAGTCACAGCATTTAAAGTGGGTTGAAGTAGATAAATGCCCAAATGTGATGAGACTCTAAATGCCTTAGCTGCCTTCGACCTAAGGATGAAGGCCTAACCCTAACTCAAACTACCCTATTCCCACAACTGTGTAAAAACATATATGTCATGCTGGAGCATTAATTCTCACTTTGCAGTGCATTTCTAGCCACAAAAGCTCGTGCTCCGATACAAACCAATTAAGCTTGCAAACGATATCACGTGACCTATTCCGCGCTCTCACTTCATCCCAGGGGACGAAGCAATTCTCCGCATGCGCAGTAGCTGGTGGAGGCGGGGCCAGAAGAGTATATCGGATGGTATTGGAGGAAGGAGATTGTATGCGGAAGTAGCAGCGCATGCGCGGGAGAAAGGGCTGTATCATGGAGACGACCAAGGCTGCTGCGCCGGCTACTGAGGAAGGACCCCAACAGGCTGCCAAGCGTAAGGTGGAGGGAAGGAAGGAAGAAGAGAAGGGGGTGCTTTTGGGGGAGGGCTATCTTTCCCTTTCTAGCTTCTTTGCCTGCCTGGTGGAGGAAGAGGGGAATTTAGAGGCCTTTTCTGCTCTCTACAGCACCCCATTTTTGTAGTTGGAAGGAGGAAGGAGAAACCTCCAGGCCTCTCTTGGATCAAAGGCCCAGCTCAGGCTGATTTGGACCACTGGCTGATTAAGTGTGCGTCCCCCTTTAGATCCTGTGGCTGCCTCTTCCTACAGAATTATGGGGTTTGTAGTTTAGGGAGGCCCAGGACCTCTCTGGCCCTAAACTTCAAACCCCAACTCCCCCCTGGGCACACAAAGGACTGGGCGACTTGGAAGGCGCTGAACAGACTGCGCTCTGGCACCACAAGATGCAGAGCCAACTTTCAGAAATGGGGCTACAAAGTGGAATCCTCGACATGCGAGTGTGGAGAAGAGCAAACCACTGACCACCTGCTGCAATGCAACCTGAGCCCTGCCACATGCACAATGGAGGACCTTCTTGCAGCAACACCAGAAGCACTCCAAGTGGCCAGATACTGGTCAAAGGACATTTAATCAACTACCAAACTCACACATTTTGTATTTTCTCTGTTTGCTTTGCTTTGCTCTGTTAGAAATGTAATATAATTGACTGGCTGCCCTGACACGAAAAATAAATAAAAATGGCAGTCATCATCTTGGCTTCTAGGAAGAGTTTAGGCTTAGAATTATAGAATAATAGAGTTGGAAATGCCATTTAGTTGAACCCCTTGCCATGCAGGAAAAGTACAATCAAAGTATCTCCTACAGATAGCCATCCAGCCTCTGTTTAAAAGTTTTCAAAGAATGACCTTGTACCACACTCCGAGGCAGAGAGTTCCACTGTTGAACAGCTCATACAGTCAGGAAGTGGAATTTCCTTTCTTGTAATTTGAGGATGTATTTTAATTCACTGGACCAAATTTGGCACAAATACTCGATACACACACATTTGAATCCTGGTGGGGTTGGGGAGGTTGATTTTGTCATTTGGGATTTATAGTTCACCTACAATCAAAGAGCAGTCCGAACTCCACCATGACCAACAGAAAATACTGGAAGGGTTTGGTGGGCATTAACCTTGAGTTTTGGAGTTGTAGTTCACCTACATCCAGAGAGCATTGTGGACTCAAACAATGTTAGATCTGGAGCAAACTTGTCACGAATATTCAATATGCCCAAGTATGAACACTGGTGGAGTTTGGGGAAAATAGACCTTGACATTTGGGAGTTGTAGTTGTTGGGATTTATAGTTCACTTACAATCAAAGAGCATTCTGAACCTCATCAACAATAGAATTGGGCCAAACTTTGCACACAACCCCCACACCTTGAAGGAAATTGCTGGCACAAGCCTCCCTCCAGCCTTGCACGCTCTCCCTCACCCATAGATTAGCACCACCCTGCCATGCACCGAGCATGCCTACTCTTCCTCCCTGCTTGGAGTCTCAGAAACAGCCCTCACCTTGGCCTAGAGGCTGGCCAATTACAGCAGAGGAGGGCTTTTGGTGGGAGGATTCGTTGTCTGTTTCCAAAAAAGGAAGAGAAGGACAGGTGGAGAGATCTTCTGCCTTATCTGCTAAAGGGGTTCCTAAAACCAGCAGAAATATGTTTTTTTTATAGTCTTTGGCAAGTTGAGAAATACTGTGCTAGGTTATCACCAAGTGGGTTTCATTGCCAAGCCATTTTAAAGGCATATATGAGGAAATTAAATTCATTTCCTGCATAAATAGCTAAATGTGCATATCGGTTAAAGGCAATATTTTCTTTCTATACTTGTAAATCTTAATAGATGATCCTGCTGTTGAAACAGCAGAAGAAGCTACAGAACCAGCAGAGGCAGATATCAATGAACTTTGTAAGGATATGTTCAACAAAATGGCAGTTTATCTGACAGGTGAACTAACTGGTAAGTTCACATTAAGTTTAAAACACATTAATTCACATAATTAATTCTCACTGTCTCCTATGGGACTTAATTCTAAGTAGTTCAGTTCAAATTCCATGTTTAAAACATTTGCAGGAGCCAGATTTTACATTTCAAAGAAAAGTTGATGGGCTGGAAAGGTTTAAAATTTGTCTTGCTGTTTTTGGAAAGACAGGAGAGGAAGACAGAGAGGAAGAGGATTGGAACAAAGCAATCTATGGGCTCGCCAGGGGATTTAAAATCTGGCTGGCATTGCTGAAAGAACAATGAGAGGAAGTGGAGTGGGTTGAGGAGGTCAGTGGGGTTCACATGGGGTTAGAATCTGGCTGAAGCATCCCGATGGCAAGGTGGGAAAAGGAGTGATGGGCTGGTGTTATTGACAAGTCTGCATGTTTAGAGAGGCTTACAATATCCGCGGTTTTCTCACTTTTGCAGGGATTCTGTGCCCCTCAGTCCCACAAATGTGAAAATAGTGTATGTGAGAGAATAATGAGATTTTTGGGTAGCTTCATATAAATGTAACTGAGATTAAAATTGTGTACAATAAGTAATTTACATTTTTAAAAGAAATAACATTTCTGTGTCTCTTTCCCTTGCTTTCTCCAAGCCACTAGTGAAGACTACAAACTGTTGGAAAATATGAACAAGTTGACTAGTTTGAAATACCTAGAAATGAAAGATATTGCAATAAATATAAGTCGAAATCTGAAGGATTTGAATCAGAAATGTAAGTAAGGGGAGAGCTATTCAGATCAAGATTGTGTTTTAATTCTTGTCATAATTTGTTTGTACAGTCACATAATATGTTTATATAAAGGCCAAAATTCACAGAAAGTATAAATCTAGTAGAAGGACTTTTATTTTGGTCGAGTCAGGAGCAACTTGAGAAACTGCAAGTCGCTTCTGGTGTTAGAGAATTGGCCATCTGCAAGGATGTTGCCCAGAAGAGGCCCGGATGTTTTGATGTTTTATCATCCTTGTGGGAGGCTTCTCTCATGTCCCCGCATGAGGCGCTGGAGCTGATAGAGGGAGCTCACCCGCCTCTCCCCGGATTCGAACCTGTGACCTGTCAGTCTCCTACCAGCACAGGGGTTTAAGCCACTGTGCCACTGTGGAAGGACTGTACAAACAGCAATGTGGCAGTGGGACGGCCATTTTGTTCATGAGACAAATTGTGATCTTTTATAACAGGCAAGGAATCTGTGGTCCTCCAGGTTATGTTAGGCTTCTCATGAGCCCCAATCAGCTTAAATAGGATGATAATAATAATAACAATAATAATAATTTATTAATACGGCATCCTCTCTCGCCAAAGAGACTCAGGGATAGAGATGTCCAGCAACATTCTGGAGGGCCACAGATTCTCCAACCATTTTAGAAGAAACTCTGGCCATGTGTGTAGTTATTGCTTGCATATGCATACCATGTCATTCAGTTGTAGCCTTTATAAACTGGCTGTTCCCAACTGGGTTCCTGTGATTTCTTCCAAAATCCGTGAAACACTGTCTTTTCCTGTCCTCTCCAGCAATTACTCACCTCCATATCCCTTAGATCAGTAGTATAGGAATAGATAAGTACTATACTACTTGTTATGAATATATTTGCTATGAATGGATCCTCGTTTAAGTTTCTTGTAAAGTCCAAAGATAGATTTGTGACTGGGGAATGCAATGTTACATGATTTTGAAATTATCATTGCATGAACTATTGAAATTGAAACGGAGTTCTCTGGTGAGAATGGAATTTCTGTGGAACTTGTAAAAATTATTAAATGTGTAACATAGGGTTCATATGGCTGTGTTTGCACACTACAGGGATAGTGGGGCTAGTACCAGGACCCATATGTAATTTTGAAAAAAACACAGATATTAATCTGTTTAGAATGCAAACATGTTATATTTGTCACGATAAAAGGGATTTCTTTTATGTTTTAATCTTAAATTTAAATTGTTATTTAATGGGAAGGAGTTGTAGTATTTAGTGTTGAGCTTCCAGCTTTAAATCTTCCGCACTTTAAGTAAGAACTGGGAAACACACATATAGGCACTGTCCATCACAGCAGAAAATGTGGATTAGTGGTATAAGCTAGTACAAGGTAGCCTTGTTGTTTCATATTAATTTTAGGTGTTTTAAAAGATACCATATCTTCTAGCCACCTTATTTCACACCTTATGATGAAGGAATGATAGAAGTTGTAATTTTTTTCTACCTCATCCTTTCTCCAAGATGCTGGACTTCAGCCATATCTGGAGCAAATCAATCTAATTGAAGAGCAAGTGGCAGCTTTGGAACAGGCAGCTTACAAACTGGATGCATATTCAAAGAAACTTGGTAGGTATTTTTAATACTTCTAGAAGAATATTATAAGGAAATTGTATAAAGCAGGACTTTTATCTAATTCCATTCCACAATATGTCTTCTTATGGCAACAATTTTCACAAGCATCTAATACATAATGAGTGTTCAGGCTGTCCAGCTAAGGCTTCCAAAGGAAGTACAGGGCAGGACTAGCGTTATAGGAGGGTAAAATTCAATGCTGTATCTGCCCAGTGAAACTCCATAATGTAATATATGTGAAAATATTAGCACTGAGTTACTGATGTACATAGTGTTTAATAGAATAATATAATAAAAGGATAAGTTCTTCCTTCAGGAAACTTGCAAGTTAAATTTTAGTTGATTTGGATATCACAAAAGGGAGAAAACAGATAAAAGTAATGAAGAAGGGATGTGCATGAATATCATGTACTGATTACCCCCTGGTGGTGCAGTGGGTTAAACCACTGAACTGCTGAACTTGCTGTCTGAAACATTGGCTGTTCGAATCCAGGGAGTGGGGTGAGCTTCCACTGTTAGGCCCAGCTTCTCCCAACCTAGCATTTTTAAAACATTCAAATGTGAGTAGATCAATAGGTACTGCTTCTGCAGGAAGGTACAGCACTCCATGCAGTCATGCTGGCCACATGACCTTGAGGATGTCTACGGACAATGCTGGCTCTTCGGCTTAGAAATGAAGATGAGCATCACCCCCCAGAATTGGACACAACCTTAATATCAGGGGAAGCCTTTACCTTACTGATTGCCACTTTAATACCATTACATTATGGTATAGATCAAAAAGGTATATACTTGCAAATAATTATACACAGTTCTGTAACTTTGGTCACATAAGCACCGATGTTGCTTGATCAGCAGTATCATCTGCTATTTTGGAAATGAAGTGATGGTTCTGCCTCTTAAAAGAAAAAATTGCCTAGCTTGAAGGAGTTCCTTTACATAGTGGAATTATAATGGTACATGCCACTATCTGCCATGGGAGGATTTCCTTGAATTTTGGGATTTGCCATTATGACAGGGGCATCTAAAATGAGTGTTCCAGTGCTTCTGATTAAACTACAAATCACAGGTTTCTATAGATGGAAAGATGGCAGTTAACGTTGAATAATGAAGCTATAATCTGTTCAGTGGAAATGGAGCCTTGGTTTTACTATTTTGCTATATTTTTCTGCCCAAAATACATTTAATAATAATAATAATAATAATAATAATAATAATAATAATAAAACTTTATATTTCGCCTTATACCCCCAGGGGAACTCAGTGCGGATTACAACACACATTTCAAACTGGAATGCCTTAACTAAACATGGGGATGCGTATTTTCTGCAGAACATGAAAATCCTACCATGGAACTGGGGCTCAGACATAACTGAAAGTGTTTTCACCAATTAAATGTTTTGGTTGCACTAATGGTTGTGCATTTTATCTTATCTTTTGCAGAAGCAAAGTACAAAAAACTGGAGAAACGATGAAAGGACACTATGCAATGAGACTTTTTTTTCTAAAACATATGGCTCTTCCATGCAAGAAATAGGATCATGTGTCACTGACTTTCTGGATTTTACACAATTTGTTACACAAAAAAACAGTCTTGAGTAGAGTTTTGTGGGAACTCCTAAGGTCTGTAGTGGCTCCCCTTGGCTGAAATCTTCTCCTGTAGAACCTGTCTTTTCTTAATGTTCTTTTTTTTTACTCATTTACAGGAGATTAATATCAAGGCCACTTCTAGCTGCTTCAGCAATCTGATACAGTAATTTCCCCATAACTAATATTTTTGCACTTACTCCCCAATGAAACATATGTTGAAAGTTGTGCTTTGCAGAGATACTGATTTGTGAAAATGATGGCTACCAATATACTGTGATAGCTACTAAAATGGTATGGCCTTACAGCAAAGTGTGTGTATGTGTTGTTTTGTTTTTGAGAAACATATAATAGCCAGAAAGTAACATAAAACTGTTTGCGGTAGGAGGATAATCTTCAGGTTTTTTTCGGAGTGGTATTCTAGATCAGTCCAAACTGCTTTCTCTCATGATAAGGCAGAATATGTACGGGACTGGCTGGTTCTAAGCTTGCTCTGTCTCAGCAGCTACTTGGCATGTGGCTGAAGATAACTCAATTTAATTCTGCCAGTTTATGATGGGTTTATTATAGTAGAGCTTAGATCGGGCACAGGAAAGCTTCAGCCCTCCAGTTTTTTGGAACTTCAACTCCCATCATTCGTAACAGCCAGTAAGCTGTTAAAAATTGTGGGAGTTGGAAGTTCCAAACACCTGGAAGACTGAAGTTTGCCCATGCCTGGCTTAGATGGTGATAATATACCATAGGTAGAGCTTCATCTCCTTTAAAATCTAATTCAGAAACACTAAAGAAAAATAATCCAAGAATGCCAGGATGGAAAGTGGTACTGTAAGGCAACTGCTAAAGAAGTACTAGTCCTGTCCACAATTCTTCATAGGCGCAACTGCCTAACTTTCCAAGCCTTTCTAGCAAGGCCTTGAATTCTTGCTTTCCTGCCGTAAACTTGCAACGTCTTGGCACTCCACATCTGATGGTTCCTCCATTTCTATTCCACTGGGTACTAACCATGTTCTTTCAACCCAAATTTATTTTGGAGATCTGATATCTGTCATCAATTACATTAACGTTAGTATAGTACAACTGCAAAGTTTCAGAGTAACATGTACATTAAAATGCTTGAGACAATGAATAGTGAAGAAAAACTTGGAATTTTGTCAATATACACTGAGAACAGTGTCAAGCTTTACAGCAGATGCAATTTGTAATATGGGACCCTTAAGCAGTACCTGTTCTATTTAGAAAAATTGGCAAACTGTTTTTAAAAATTGTCATCCTCTACTTCAGGAATGATTTGTTGGGCATTGTCTGGTTTTCTTTCTGACTACCTGAGTTTTAATTATAGTCAGACATGGCACTGTTATATATACAATTATTAATCATGCAGAAATATACAGGTGCATTAACTCTGGGATCTGCTCAACATGACTGTTAGTATTGCATTTGTTGGCTCCCATTACGACCACCAGCACAATGCCAGTGTTGTCAATATCTCTTTGAATGGTAGGCAGATTTCCTTAGTAGGTATTCTCTGTGCAGAAACTCAGCATGAACATGTGACTACTTACTATTTCAGATGTATGTTTTTTATACTTGCCTAAATTCAGTAATCGAGGCCTATAAAAATATGTATTGTACATCAAAACATATATATTTTGGTATTTGTGCCTGTGTGTTCTTTTTGACTTCCTATGTGTAGGTAAAGTTTATTGACAATTATCCTTCTTCCATCATGTTACTAAATTGCTACACTGATCTTTAACCAGACAGATTTGGACTATGGAAAAGAACAATAATGTTGATGGATTAGCTTCCAAATTACTATCTTTTCGCTGTATCTTTTAACTTGCTGAGCAGCATATGGAGCTGAAGAATTGGATCGTTGTTCTGTCTAAATATCATCTGCTTCAGGACTGAGCAACTGTAGCCCATGCATAAGAAGCTGAACTCCAATACCCATGATCTTTACCATTACCTAAACTGGATCAAAGAGTTCATGGGTCCCAGGAGATCTCAATTAATAAAATGAGGACATCCGACACCTCAAATGTCTATTAATTAGAGAAGAGTCTTCCTCACACTTGCCTGGTATTAAACTAGGACTTTTAGCATACAAAGTGTGTACTCTACAACTGAGTTTCAGGCTCCTGTTAAATCTGGAGAGCTGAAATCACCTCAGATACTCTCTACCTCAATCTAGCATGAAACGTTTGCATTTCTACATTAACTTTTCTCAATAGTGTTCAATTTAGTATCTAGCAAGAGCTCTAGCTGTACAATGATTTCACATTTAAGTGAAGTGATGCACAAGAATTTTTAATAAAACATTCTTACAAGCCAACCTTTCCTGTCTTTAATATTACTCACAAGGTACAAAGATACAACTTTTAAAATGAGAAAAAAGGCCATATATGCTTAAAAAATAATAGTAGCAACGTACGCTGTTGAGGTCCAGCATGATGCATTAACCACACAGAATCTGAGGTTAAAAACATATGTTTGCACTAACACTTCATCAGACTTGGTCCCCAAATATTTTATCATTTTGATCACCCTCCTCTGGACACGTTCCAGCTTGTCAATATCAATTTTAAACTGTGGTGCCCAGAACTGGACACAACATTCCAGGTGAAGTCTTGCCAAAGCAGAATAGAGTGGGACTATGAATTCCCTCAATCTTGACACTGTACTCTTATTGATGCAGCTTAGAATCAAATTGGCTGTTTAGCTATCGCATCACACTGTTGACTGATGTTCAGCTTGTGGTCTACTGAGACTCCTAGATCCCTTTTGCACTTTCAAGCTAGGTGTCGCCTATCCTATATGAGTGCGTTTCATTTTTTATTGTCAAAGTGTAGTACTGTATATTTCTCCCTGTTGAAATTCATTTTGTTAGTTTTGCCCAGATCTCTAATCTGTTACAGCCATTGTCTATTCTGATTCTGTCCTCTGGGGTATTGCCCATCCCTCCCAATTTGTTGATACAGTAGAGTCTCACTTATCCAACCTTCACTCATCCAACATTCTGAATTATCCAACACAGTCTGCCTCCCGCTCAGATCCACAGCTGTTTCACTACATTGCAATGTTTTGGTGCTAAATTCGTAAATACAGTAATTACTACATAATGTTGCCATGTATTGAACTGCTCTTTCTGTCAATTTGTTATGAAACATGATGTTTTGGTGCTTAATTTGTAAAATCATAACGTTATTTGACGCTTAATAGGCTTTTCCTTAATCCCTCCTTATTATCCAACATTTCCGCTTATCCAACATTCTGCCAGCCCAGTTATGTTGGATAAGCGAGAGACTACTGTATCTGAAAATTAGATAAGGATGTCTTCTATTCTGCCATCCAAGTCACTGATAAATATGTTGACTAGCACTGAGCCCAGGACAGACCCCTATGTCACCACTTGTCACTTCTCTCCAGGATGAAGAGCCATTCAAATGCACCCTTTGGATTTGGCCAGGTTAACAATTCCCAATCCATCTAACACAGTAGCATTGTCTAGCCCACATTTTATTAGCTTCCTTTTGAAAATGTCACAGAGAACCTTGCCAAAGGCTTTACTGAAATGAGATATACTACATCCATGGCATTATCTTCATCTAGCTTGTAACTCTACAAAAAAAAAAAAAAAAAGACCTAAACAGAACAGACATTATATAAATGTTTAATTTCCTTTCTAAACATTGATACTACATTGGTCACTTTCCAGACTTTTGAAATTGGTTAATCTTATATATTTTGTTAGAAAACCATCAATTTAAGAATTCTCGGATTCTAGCTGGAACTGGTTATTTTGTTTTGAATTTGTCAGAAAGGTCAATAACTTCTTCCCTTCTCATGACTGTCCTTCAGATATCTTTTCTGAAAATATTACTTCAATTACTAACCAGCCTGTTCTGAAGATAGATGCTGGACTACAGCTCTTGTATTCCTCGCCATTAGACATCATGACAAGAGCTGATGGAAATTGTGATATAGTAAACTAGGGGTGAGCTTCCACTGTCATCCCCAGCTACTGCCAACCTAGCAGTTAGAAAACATGTAAATGTGAGCAGATTAATAGGTATTGCTCTAGTGGGAAAGTAACGGTGCTCCATGCAGTCATGCTGGCCACATGACCTTGGAAGTGCCTACAGACGCCAGCTCTTTGGCTTAGAAATGGAAATGAGCAGCAACCTTCAGAGTCGGACACGACTGGACTTAATGTCAGGGGAAGACCTTTACCTACCTTTACCTAACCTAGGGGTGTGTGAATTCACTGTTTTCATTTTGTTTACATTTCGAATTTCAGGTCCCCCTCCCCATTCTGTTTTCGGGAACATTCCAGGTGATTAGGAGGGAGGCCATTCAGACTCGTAATTTGGAATCCTGAGTTCCATTTCCATTTTGAGAAGAATCTTCCCAAAAAACAGAATTGGAGTGGGGGGGGGGGAGCACCCAAAATTCGAAACAAGAGCAGAATGGATTTCTGCTGTTTTGCACACCCCTATAAGGCTGCGGTTTGTCCTGTTTAGATTTAGATACAAGGTTGTGGATATGGTGCCTGGCCTTAAAATATCCTTTGACCTTTCCCCAACCTCAGAGCTACAAGTGCTCATGTGTTGCAATTTCCATTATCCCCAGTCCACATGGCAGATAATCAAAAGTTATGGGAGTTATGATTCAACAAGGTCCAGGGACCCAAACTGAATAAAAACTAAACAGCACCAACCACAATTGGGCAGGGATTCTGGGAGTACAACACCCAGAACACCTGCCCAATGGTAAAAATTGTATAACAAACATATCTATTTAACATCCCAAATGTTTACCCCTCTGCACAATTAACATTCTATTTACTATCTTCATTTTTGAACAAATGCAAGGAGCTCCCAGTGGCATAATGGGTTAAACCCTTGTGCTGGCAGGACTGCTGACCGAAAGGTTGGCGGTTCGATTCCAGGGAGCAGGGTGAGCTCCTGACTGTCAGCTCCAGCTTCTCATGTGGGGACATGCAAGAAGCCTCCCACAGGATGATAAACATCCAGGCATCCCCTGGGCAACGTCCTTGCAGACAGCCAATTTTTTCACACCAGAAGCGACTTGAAGTTTCTCAAGTTGCTCCTGACATAGAAAAAAAAATTGTCAAGGTGTTGGTGTAAAATAAGGCCAAAGTGAAGGTAGCACTAAGAAGGAAACAAGTTCCATTGCTCCTGAAATTGAACAAGTCCTGAGTCCAAAGATAAAGGATGAGACCTTGGCTATACAGCTTTTAA